GGCTTTTGACCGGCTGTGCAGACGAAAAAGCACCCTCTTGAGCCTGGCTTCTGCCTCAGATGTCGGAGAGTTCACACGAGAGCGACGCGCACCCTCGCTTCCTAACGTCCTGTGGTTGGCTCCACCCTCCTGCGGCAGCCATTTTGTTGTTGCGCCCACCGCCGCCCGGTGTCAGGTCTCCAGCTGTGCCCACCGGGCCTCACCTGGGGGGCTTTGACTTGGAGGGAGGAGAGGGCTGCACCAGAGAGGAGGAAACCCCACCCAAACACCAAAGCCATTTGCCTCAAGGACACATGACTTCCGTGAGGTAATCATCTCTCTCTGAAAGCACGAGGCTGCCCTGCCTCAATAGCTCAGTGAATCCCGGCTTAACCCGGGACCAAGTAGGGAGGGGAATGGGGGGGAGGCTCTGCACGCTAGTCCTGGAAGGGGGAAAGCCTGCTGCTCCCCCCCCATCAAGAGCAAACCCCCCCCCCATTAGCAGTCTCTCAAGGCCGGAAGGACTGAGGCAGCGCCAACACAAAAGAGGCAGGAGTGTCCGTGTTCACTTCACTCCCCTCCATGTGTTTTTTTAAAGTCAAGGGGGGGCATCCAGGGGGGCCAGCTCAAAGGGCCACTTGCTGGCTTCGGCTGCTGAGAGCCAGAAGACTTTGTTGCCCGGCAGGGTTGCCAGCCTCCAGGTGGGGCCTGGGGATCTCCCACTTTTGCAACTGATCTCCAGCTGACAGGAATCAGCTCCCCTGGAGAAAAGGGCTGCTTTGGAGGGTGGACTCTGTGGCACTGTAACATACTGAGGCCCCTCCCCTCCCCACTCCTGGATCCACCCCCAAAGTCTCCAGGTATTTTCCATCGCAGACCTGGCAACCCTGCTCCCCAGAGAGACATGTCAGGGGCGATATGCAGGGCTATTTTGGGGCAGGAACGCACAGGAACGGCGTTCCGGCTGGCTCCCGAGTTGGCCACGCCCAGCAGGAACTCATTAGAATAAAAGGCCACACCCAATGGCAGGAACTCATTAGGATTGGCTACATTAGAGGTGTGTGGCCTAACATGCAAAGGAGCTCCTGCTACAAAAAAAGGCCCTGGGTTTTGACCACAAACAAGGTAAACAGAATAAGAAGCAAAAGGTGGGTGTGGCTGGATGACCACACTTCTGGTAACATGGGGGTGTGGCCTAATGTGCTAATGAGTTTCTGCTGTTAGGTGTGGCCTATTACGCTAATGAGTGTCTGCTGGGCTTTTTCTACAAAAAAAGTCCTGGCAATGGGTGTGAGCTCCCATAGGAGGGGGCATAACATTGGTCACATCCACATAGGCTTCTAAAGCAGAAGGACTTCATGGAGGAAACGGACTTCCGAAGGAGACTCAGGAAAGCTGCCTCTGGTCAGACCACAAAGGACTGGGGCCAGAGACACTCATGATCCAACTCGGGAGGCGGCCCCCTTGATTTGGACAGCGCCTGGGTGTGAGTCCATCCGCTTCAGCCTCTGCTGGGTTCAGGGTGTGAGCTTCCATAGGAGGGCATGACATTGGTCACATCCACATAGGCTTCTAAAACAGAAGGACTTCATGGAGGAAGGCTGGGAAAGGGACTCCCGAAGGAGACTCAGGAAAGCTGCCTCCGGTCAGACCGCAAAGGACTGGGGCCAGAGACACTCATGGTCCAACTCGGGAGGCGGCCCCCTTGATTTGGACAGCGTCTGGCTGTGAGTCCATCCGCTTCAGCCTCTGCACGACCTGGGAGAAGGACCAGGGACTGACTTGTGTTCACAATATGCAGCAACGATGTCAGCGGCAAAGAGCTGAAGGTTTCATTTCCGCCGAGGACAACAAACGGCAGAGATCCAACACCTCTGCGGAGGAGCGCGGAGAGCGGAGGGTTAATGTTCTTTGCAGGGAGCCTTATCTCTCTTGCTCTCCTTTCTAAATATTATTTCCTCCCATGAAACTGGCTTTTCATCCTTGGCTGGAGGCAGTATGACCTAGGAGGACCAGGGACTGACTTGTGCTCACAATACGCAGCAACGATGTCAGCGGCAAAGAGCTGAAGGTTTCATTTCCGCCGAGGACAACAAACGGCAGAGATCCAACACCTCTGCGGAGGAGCGCGGAGAGCGGAGGGTTAATGTTCTTTGCAGGGAGCCTTATCTCTCTTGCTCTCCTTTCTAAATATTATTTCCTCCCATGAAACTGGCTTTTCATCCTTGGCTGGAGGCAGCTCCTGCTGCTGGGAATCCAGCAGGAGCCTGTATCGCTGCCACTATACACTCCACTGCTCCCAGCAAGTAACCAAGACAAAGAGACTCTCCCCCCCCCCTTTCCTCTCCTCTCCCCACTCCTAAGAGCAAAGCCCATGTGCTGGGACAGGCAGAAATACTGTCACGTGTAGGCAGTTGGCTCAGGCCTATGGAGAATCGGCTGGAGTTTAGGTAGGCGGCTTTTGATAGAGAATGGGCAGGAGGGGTGAGAGAGGTACTATGGAAATGAACCAAGCCCCTGTACACACAGAGGGATCCTCTCGCCCCTCACCCTCCCTAGGGCAAGCAGGCAATGGCTGTGAAGTTCTCCCTTTGTCAAGTGAGCCCATATTTCTCAGTCAGCCAGTTGTTCAATTGACTGTCCAAATAAGACTGTTTTACCAGTCTGGGCTACAGGAACCCGACAGACAAAACACTGCCGTGACCGGTGTCGTTAACACAGCCACAGACCTGAATCCTGTATGAAACAGCCTAAAATCCCCTATTTGCTTCTGCAACTCTTCTTTGACAAAGGGCACACCTTTCTCTCCAAGGGCACAAGTTTGGGCAGTGAGAGGAAGGGAGACTGCGTGCACGCAGCTGCGACAAGCCCGATTTCAGCCTCTCTGGCAGCCGCTCGGAATCCCTGGCACGAAAAGGGGCACCGAGCCATCTGACTCTGAAGATCACATTGTCAAGATTTCACAGCAGCCGCCGCCGCAGAATCGGGATTAGGACACAGCGGGTCCCAGGGCCCGGCTCCATCAGGGATCCACTGGACCATGCCATTTCTCATCAACACTAACTGAACTCAATTAGTTCAATGTGCAATAATGAGCCGTTTGTGCATGCGTCTAAGCAGGACAAGGGGGCTCCGAGAAGCTACAAAGCAGCTACCTGGGGTAAAATCATCCAAACTGTACCGCACTCCTGAACACACAGGAAGGGAGTGAGACAGCCCTGCAATTTGCCTTTCCTCCCCATCTCTCCCCAAGCCTCGTCGGCTATTTAGTGCCAGGCCTCATTTCTCTCAAACATTCCAACGGAGTTGACTCTTCCCGTTTGCACAGGGACAGGTACGTGGCTGGAATTAAATCCTCGCTTCCATTTGGTGCACAGAAGGAGTTTGAAGCACATTAAAGGATTTTTTTTTTAAAGGGTCAAGTCTCCAAGGACGTTTGTATCTCGGCTGGCAGCGCTACAGGCTGTGTATCATTTCAATGGCATCTTCAATGGGGATTATAATCTGAATTGAAGTGGAAATATCTGAGGCAATGAAGCTGTCAGCAGTCTAAGATTAAGGAATTAAAACAGCAGCAAAGCATGATAGGATTTATTCTGCGTGCACTCGAACGGAGGCCCGGGACACGACGAGATCCCATAAAGGTAAGGAGAAAGGCAAGAACAGTGATCCCATCAATACAAAAAGGACGGCACTATGAAAATCAGCAGCGCCAGATGTAAATCGCCCCAAACTGAAAATGGCAAGGGATGAGTGACGGAGGGCTTGGCTGAACTGAACCAAGGAATCAATGCAAACGACACAGGGTGTGAGAAGCAGCTGGAACCACACAGATAACACTTCTCCAGCCGGGATCGAGATGGCAGAGGAGCCCCCCCCCCGTCTCTCCCACCCACCACCAAGCGTGCCAATAAAATTGAGGGATGGGCGTTCAATACAGGCACAGAGGCAAGGCACGAGGGATCCTCTGTTTAAGAGATTCTTCTGGGATTCTCTTTCAGTACCCAAAGGAGACCCCAGTTCATGGCTTTAGCCATGGAAGCCATCCTTAGATTAGGGATTTGCAACTTGTAAAAAGACAGACACACTCCCAGGGCGATCGTCTGCTCCTGTCCAGGAGGTCCAAGCAGGCCCATAGCTACCGGGGGGGGGGCTTTTGGGGGGCGCTGCCCCCTTTCTTAAAGGCGCAGCCCCACGAGAATTTCTCCTCTGAATGCTTTCTCAATCATTTAAAAACATTTTTTAAAAGGCGTGTGCTCCTTTAAGCAGAGTGGTGGGGCTGTGGGTGACTAACCCCCACACTGAGGAAGGGGGTTGAGTAGGTGACCTCTAGGATCCCTTCTAACTCTGCGTCAATAAACTGGTCTCCTTTAAGAGTTTTTCTGCCTAAGTGTTAGCTTTCTTGACTATAGAAGTAATCACCCCCACCTGCTGGCTTGTTATCAGAACTGTTGCTCAGGCTGGCAGAATTAACTTGCAGCAGCTGAGAACTGTCATCTAAAGCGGTTGGCAGCTTGCAGTTTAGAGATCGATCCTGGTAACAGCTTTCTATTGGCTCAATGGCTTTTCTTTCTGCACTGAGAACTTCAGCCCCACCAGAAAAAAATTTGCCCCACAAGCCACAGAATCCTGGCTGAGGGCCTGGGTCCAAGCTCTGACTTGGCAGAGCACCCCCCCCCCATTGCTCTTTCCAGTCATTAGGATATGCTTTTCCCAAGTAGCGCGACCCCACTGAAGCCCCAGCTGTCCAAACTCACCTCTTACTTACCACACCAAGAGGGAACAACAAACCAACCCCTCTTCTTTGTAAGGAACCCAGTGGTGACAGAAGAGAAGAGGGGAAACTTTCAGCAAGCAGAGTGCAAACGGCTCCATGCTCAGTTTGACAAGTTATAAGGAATTCCCCCCGTTTCTCGAAGATCATACATCAGACCAAGTTCCAAGAATAAGAAACACACACATACACCATATACCCATTTTACAGGTGGAAGAACAATTCCCAAAGAAGCCCACGTGCAGGATTTTATCTGTTTATTAATAGAAAAAGATCTGCAGAAGAATGTCTCTCGTGCACACAAGGCCACACAACACAAAGTGAGAAGCAGGCAGGAAAGGGGAGGGGGCCCCCGGGGGAGCAGGGTGCCAGAAGAAAAAACGGCAGCAAGTTCATGGTCAACGAAGAGATTTCAAAGAAAGGAAGAATGGCAACAGGTTGACCCCTCCCCCCAAAGCACTGTAAGGACTTCGGGGGAAGGAGGATGCCAATTTAAAAGTCGTTTATTGGATACTGAGGTTTACCACCGTACAGGCAAGTGTGATGCTATCTTTGCAGGGAAGAGGGTGCTACGGCTGAGGCGGGCACAGCTGGCCTCACGCAGGAGGGGTCTGGAATTCCTCCCCAACTCCCAATGCCACTGCCTATCTGGGCATCTAGGTAGAAATTCCCTGCAAAATCGTCCAAGGCTTTTCAAGTGTGACCTGGGCAGGAACAAGCTCTGTCTAGAGGAAAAGTCCAGGGCTGCTCAGTGGCTCTTCTTGGTCGAGCCGAACCCAGAGAAGCCCATCACGGCCGCCATTTCGTCGTCCTCCTCGAACGTCAAGTCTTCCTCTGCCCTCCTCTTCTTCTCCCTCTGTTTTTCTTTCTTGTAGGCTTTGGCCTTTTCCTCCTGCGACAAAGCAAAACAACGGTCAGGCGGACCCAGCTTGCTTGTGCTGCCCCGGCCTTTTGGAGGGAAAAGCACAATCCCAGGAACTGGGCCGTGGAGACAAACATCCTTTCTGGTCGGAAGAACAAACAGTGTGTGTGTGTGGGGGGGGAGAAACGGCGGGCCCCGGAGGAGAGCTGGGAAAGGCAGCGGCCCAAAGACGCTCGCAGGGAAGCGACACGTGAAGAACGACTGCACCAGGACTCCCTGCCACCGTCAGCGTCTGCTATTAAGCGTCTGCCAAAAGACTCCGTCGGAAATCAACAGTGATGGAAAACTGGCATTGCTGGGAAAGCCACGGACTCGGCACGGCCGTCCTGCTCTGACTGCGGGGCCCAATGGTGGCGACAGACAATGGCGGCTCTGATGGCCGTTGGAGCAGCCGAGTGACAGCTGCTCACTGGAACAGAAGCTGAGTTCTGGGTGGCTTGCGGGGGGGGGGTGTTTGGCATCAAAGGGCTTCCACTGCTCAAATCAAAACGTTTCATTCGGCAAGATCGCAAGGCCTGGAACCGAGCCAGGCTTGTGCTGGGGGAAGCAGAAGTGTGGCGGACTTCAGTGACTGAGTCCCTGGCAGCTGCCGAAGCTCAGAGGACTCACTCTTGTTTGCACATACACACACCCAGGCGGGGGCATAACAGGCCTCCTACAGCAGCCACCCTCACAGCTGAAGACACCCCAAATCATGCCTTGATTTGTGACATCATGGAACTGCTATAGGGTTTTTTGTTGTTGTTGTTGGTTAGTTTATTTACAGTCAATGACCGTATTCAAAAATACGGCAGAATAAAAGCATAAGAAGAAGAGATTGGATTTATACCCGGCCCTTCACTACCCAAAGGAGTCTCAGAGCGACTTACAAAACCCTTTCCCTTCCCCTCCCCACAACAGGCACCCTCCTGTGAGGTAGGTGGGGCTGAGAGAGCTCTTGCCAGAAACTGCTCTTTTTCCAGAACAGCTCTTATCAGAACTACCGCTTTCACAAGGTCAGCCAGCAGGTGCAAGTGGAGGAGTTGGGAATCAAACCCGGTTCTCCCAGATTAGAGTCCGCGCACTTAATCACTACACCAAACTGGCTTAGATATAATAGTTAAAACGAACAACATAATTAAGATATATTATTATTATTGTTGCTGTTGTTGTTCAGTCGCACAGTCGAGTTCGACTCTTCGCAACCCCATGGACCAGATCACGCCAGGCCTTCCTGTCTTCCACCGTCCTCTTAAATTTTATTATTATTATTACTAATTTGATTTATTAATCGCCGTATCCCAGCTTATGCCAGGCTCTGGCGTATATAAGGCATCATGTTACAAGGATAACATATACCAGTCATCACATTTCAAGAATAAAAAGATACCATACATTAAATCTAAAAAAACAAACTCAAAATGAGAGAGGAGGAATCCTTAAAAAAACAGGTCTATTGTTTGCTGTGCACTTTAATCGCCTGGGCACAAAACTTAGTTGCTACCTTAGTGATAGCTAGAATTTCATCTATCAATAGTTTCTCCAAACATGCCCTGTCTGTCACTACTTGTAGTCCATCCAAAAAAGGAAGAATTGTCTTATCTTGAGTTTCTTTATAAGAACTCCAAGAGAAGAGATTGGATTTATACCCTGCCCTTCACTGCCCAAAGTTGTCTCAGAGTGGCTTACAAACTCCTTCCCCTCCCCACAACAGACACCCTGTGAGGTAGGTGGGGCTGAGAGAGCTCTTGACAGAAACTGCTCTTTTTCAGGAACAGCTGTGCCAGAACTATGGCTTGCCCAAGGTCATCCAGCAGCTGCAAGTGGAGGAGTGGGGAATCAAATCAGGTCCTCCCAGATTAGAGTCCGCGCACTTAACCACCACACAAAAATGGGCAGCGTATGAAAACGTGTCCCAATGTTTCCACCTCACCTAGGGAGCAGGGACAAATCCTTTCAGAATATGGGATCTTCTTGTATCTCCCTTCTAATACCATTGATGGCATAACCTCACATTCAGCCAGGGTAAAAGCCCTCCTATGGGGAAGAAAATCTAAAACGTTAAGATATTTGGCCATTGTCATGGAGTAGCTAGATTCCACAGGAGCCTTAAAGTCTGGAGTTTTCATTAAATCTTGCTGCTGGCTTCGTGTCGCAAACTCTTGGTTTAATTATAGATTTCACATCATCAGGAGTCGGTGACAAAAGTGCATCAGATGAAAGGCTTGTTCTTTGTAGACTACCCTCAACTAAGTATAACCGTCTTGGCTGATAGATTTGGGGGGGGGGGGCTGTTGGGATTATTTTTTATAAAAAGCCTCTGTATCCCCAATACAGCATGACCACGTCACTTTCCCTGACTGGCAAACAAGAGACTGGACTCTACAAGAACCAGACAGGCATGGAGAGGGAGAGAGAAGTGGTAGGCTTGTCTGAAGGGTAACGGGCTACAGTCCAGGCCTGCTGTGTCCAAGTAACTCCCATAGCCTAATCCAGGGGTGTCAAACTCATTTGTTATGAGGGCTGGATCTGACACAAATGAGACCTTGTTGGGCCGGGCCATGTATGTCATAAAACGTAATGCCAGGTAGTGGAGATATAAACTTTATAAAGGACACAAACACAAGGGTTTTTTTTTAACTTAAAATAAAAGCATGCTTAAAACATTAGCACACATGCAATATTTTGTTTATTTAACAGTGTCTGATAACTGACACCTCTTGCTCTGAACTACTGCACACAATGTTAGTCCTGTTGCAATCTTGAGTGTGCTGTTCAGGTGTGTATCTGTAAGCTGCAAACCTACGATGACGCAGCAGCAGCAGAACTGGAAGAAGCAGCAGAAGACAGCCAGTTCCACTGCGGGCCTGATCCGGGGTGGGGTGGGGCATGTTTGACACCCCTGGCCTAATTGGTGAAGGACTGAGAGGCCGTGAGAAGCCTAGCCCCTTGCCAGGACATTAAGCAAAGGATGTGTACTCTTTGGTAAGTGGTGAAATTCTGCATCATTAACCTAAATTGTATGCAAAAAAACAAGCTGAAGTTCTACAACCTGCATAAAATATGCATCACACAAATGTGCACGTGTGAGTTAAATAAGTGATTTCTTCTGCTTCTGGGAGTGGCGAGGCGCTATCAATGGCACCAAAGCCTCTCCCGTGGCCACTGTAAAGTCCCACTCTTATGCCTGCCCCTTTTGGATGAAGAGGTGGTGTTAGAAAAACTGGGGCTGCCTCTGTCTGTACGAGAGAGGGGACCCAATCCCACAGCAACGTTTGTCTTCGGGAGGTATGAGGGATCACCCCGATCTTCGCCACACTCCAGCTTCAAAGAGAAATGAAGGGCCCAAAAATCGCATCATAAAATTCACTGCGATGGCCCCACAAGACAACGAAAGGAGTGCAACTGGCGGGACGACACATAGGGCTCCCCCTGCAGGCCAACGAGGAGGAACCCAAGGAGGCCACGCCCACGAAATGCGTCCTGGGAAGCCTCAGCTCCCTGCCCAAGCATCCGAGAGAGTTTTGGAACCAGGAGCAATTTATTTCTGAGATGCCAGATTGGAACGGCTGCCTCTGGGCATCCATTCTCCTAAAACATCTAAACGTTTCTTTTCAGCAGCTGAGGAGCGATCAGGCCCCCCAACTCCCTTTTTTCTTGTTCCCCCTTTTCACTCACGCACCTCTTCCCGGAGCTCTTTCATCCTCTCCTCAAAGTCGTAATCCTTCTGCTTCTCCTCCATCTTCTTCTTGTTCACTTCAAAGCGCTTCTTCACTTGATCCAGCGTCGAGCGCTCCACTCTCATCGACATGCCCAGGTTCCTCTGATCTAGACAGGGAGGGAACCGAGAAGCAGAGCCTCAGAGGCAGGGACGGGATTTCAGGAGCCCAGGAAAGGCCCAGAAGCCCTTTGGAAGCACAAGGGGGGGACATTGCTCTAGGAACTTTGGTTCGGCTTCTCTTAGCGTCTCTCATCACAACACCAGACAATGCAGGATGTGATAAGAGGCCAAATGCAGAATGCGATGAAATGCAGCATGCAGAATGCGATGAAAGGCCAAATGGCACCATGCAAAACCATTTCCATTCATGCATCTGCACGGCAAAGAAACGGGTGTAAGGGCTGTATTAGAAACTGGCTGCTGGACACTGTGATGGCGGTATTTCTCACCAACCGAAACACGGGTGCAGCTGGCCCAAAGCATTAGGCAACCATGCTCATCAGGGCTCTTGACAAACAATCCATGTGGGGCTGGGGGGGGGGGGCCCTGTTTCCCATCAGAGGGGACTATTGTGGAATCACAGTCTTTCAATTGCTCTCTAAGGTCATGGGCCTGGATCCTTTCAAGATTGGCTCAAAAACTCTGGGGGGCTCTGGTGACATCGTTTCCAAGGGTGCAGGAACTGTCTCAGCTCAAAGGTGCGTCACAGAACAGTTCGACAATGCTGGTGTGAGCCGCACGCCTGAAGCGGCATACAAGGCTGAAGCAAAGTCTGCCCACTGGGCAAATGGACCTGTGCCTTCTGGAAACAAGCAAGGAATGCCTGGCGTTCTATTTTTCTCTCTTGCGCCAGCAGAATTTAATTGAAGATGTGCACCTGAAACATCGTCAAACCTGAGAAGGAATGGGCTACAGGCTTGGAGCAGTGATGGCTTCTTAATGTGGGAACTCCCTTCAGAAGGGAACCGGTCTAAGCCGGGCACTTCAGATATCCAAGAACAAGGTAGAAACTTACTATTCCAACCAAGTTGGTACTACTTGCTACTGGTTATCATTTAACATAGTTTTATTCCTGTGTTTGAGTTTTAAAGAACTGTTAGCTGCCGTGGTTTTCACACTGAAGGCAAAAGTGTATCTACAAAAATAGGACTACACGGCTCACAGAAAAAAGGAGGAGCAGTCACAAGATACCTCTGAGCCTCTCCATTTCTAAATGCAGATGGTTTCTAGCTACAAAACTGCAGTGCGCACGTCAGGCAATGAAATAAAGAGATATCTGCATCTGATTTAAGCTAAGACACAGGCTGCATTCGGACATCCCCATCCGTCAGTTTGCCCATGACGGGGCACAAACACCTTTTCCCCTTGTGCTTGCAAACCCCCCCCCCCCAGATGTACAGAGCACAACTGGAAGCTTCCTGGCCTGAGAAGCGTCAAACCAACCTCCAATTTGCTGTAACAGCAAAAGGGAGATATCTGGGCAAACAGCTGTTGGCTGGCCTGCACTGTGGAGACACGGCAAACTGGCATTGGATGCAAAGCATCCCAAACAAAAGCATCTCCCTCCTCACTCTACGGACAAAGGGAGGAAGGAGGAGCCAGGCCCGCCATGGCCAGGGAGCCTTGCCACAGTGCTTGGATGCAGCTGCTGACTTGGTGCAACATTCCGGCAGTTTGGGCTCAACTGGCATTGGATGCAAAGCATCCCAAACAAAAGCATCTCCCTCCTCACTCTACGGACAAAGGGAGGAAGGAGGAGCCAGGCCCGCCATGGCCTTGCCACAGTGCTTGGATGCAGCCGCTGACTTGGTGCAACATTCCAGCAGTTTGGGCTCAACTATCTGAGAGCTACAAGAATCGACTGTGCTGAGCACGTGTCGCCAGAAACACAGCGTGCCTCCGTCTCCAGACCGAATCCATTCAGTCAAACAGGTTATATCCACCTTGGAAAAGGAGGGACATCTAAACTCGACTAGCCATTTGGGAAACGCCAGCAAATCACCGTTTTTGGGAAAGGCCGCGGTCGGTTCATTATTTGCTCAAGGTACAGTTGGCGGTGGCTCAAGTAGTTAAGACGCTGAACTGCAGGCTGTGGAAGGTCGGTAGTTCAGCAGTTCGAGACCCGGGTTGCCACATGACGGAGTGAGCTCCCGTCTCTCGTTCCAGCTCCTGCCAACCTAGCAGTTCGAAAGCAAGAAATTCCAAGTAGATAAATAGGTACCACTTCGGTGGGAAGGGAACAGCGTTCCGTGCGCCTTGGTGTTTAGTGATGCCGGCCACATGACCACGGAAACGTCTTCGGACAGCGTTGGCTCTTTGGCTTTGAAACGGAGATGAGCACCGCAACCCTAGAGTCGGATTCGACTGGCTTTCGAGCAAGGGAACCTTTACCTTTACCTTTTACAGTTGGCTGTGGCTGCCTATACCTGCAGCGGCAGGGCCCCAATTAGGGTAGTCTGTCCCCTGGAGATTCATGGAACCAGCTGGTTTCCAGAATGCTCCACCGGACTTTGAGAGCCCTGCAGGCAGCTCCTTTGATGGGGGCCCGAAATGCGAGCCCTTGGAGGCAACTGATGGGGTCGCACCCACCCCCTCTGAAAGGATTGTGCCCTCTTGGTCTGACAAGAGATTTATGTGGCAATGAAGATGGATGAGAAACATCACGAGCGTCAGAAGACTTGTGCTAAATCGGACACAAGCCCCGGAAGGCGTACGAGGTGGCCACGGGAGCAGCGAAGGCGGCTTCCTCTCCAGTACCACTGCATCAGCTAAACTGCCTCCACTACAGTTTCTTAGGATAATCCAGGCTTCTGAGGACTTCAAAGAGAGGTGCCCCAAATGAGGGTAATTTGGCAATGCAGAGTGATGGTTCTGTGCATATTTCTGCTGACCAAAGTTTCTCAGATCTACTCTGGCTTGGATTCCAGTTCTGGAACAGGTCCTGTAGAAGTGTCTGTCACACCATCTGGTCATTTCCCCACACACAGCTTTGAATTGGTTTCACCAAGTGATGTTGACAGGATCTTGGGGGTCAATCAGACCCAAGTCCCACATGGCTAATTAAGTGCTGTGGGGATAAAAGTAAAGGAACCTTTGCTGAACTTTGTAAATTGTAGAGGGGAATTTCCCAAAGCCTCTGAAAGAGGCTGTGATTCAGCCCTTATTGAAACCTTCTTTATACAAAACAAACAAGAATCTTGGCCAAAGATTTAAAGGTAAAGGTTTCCCTGCTCGAAAGCTAGTTGAATCCGACTCTAGGGGGCAGTGCTCATCTCCATTTCCAAGCTGAAGAGCCAGCTTTGTCCAAAGACCTTTCCGTGGTCATGTGGCTGGAATGACTAAACGCTGAGGCGCATGGAATGCTGTTACCTTCCCACCGAAGCAGTGCCTATTTATCTACTTGCAATTTCTTGCTTTCAAACTGCTAGGTTGGCAGGAGCTGGGGCCAGAGACGGGAGCTCACTCCATCATGCGGCACTCTGGTCTCGAACTGCCAAACTACAGACTTTCTGACCTGCAGCTTCAACATCTTAACCTCTGAGCCACCGCAGCCAGTGTTAAATACTCCTTTCTTTGGTAAAGCAACCGATAGAGGGGTACAGGAAATCTATAGGGTTTCTTGGATAATCCTGTCCTGGACCTGTTTGGATCTGGATCCAGGCTTTGTTTTGAGACAGAGTTTGTCTACCAGAGCAACTAACGCAATCGCTGGTTGCAGGTGGCTAGGGAAACCGTTTTACCTCTTATCCTGCATGGTTTTTCTGCTGCCTCTGATACCAAAACAGCACTTCAACATTGCTGAGACTTGAAATCAGAATGGATATCAAGAGGATGGTGATGAAATGGTTTCAACTTTTTTCTTCCCTGAATGGATTCAGAAAGCTCTCAGTAGTGACTCCGAATTAGTACTGTGGGATTTGTTCCACGGAGTTCTGCAAGGATCTGTTTAAAAACATTTATGTCAAGCTTTAAGTGGGAGAAGTTTGGAGCTTTGGAATGGGGTAGCACCACTATGCAGGTGACAACCGGCTGCTAGGAGCCGCAGTCCCTATTTCGCACCAGTGCTTAGCTGCTGGGGCCAAGAGTCAAACTGAAACTGAATCCAGCCAAGACAGAAGTGGTGCTGCTTGGTACGGATGGTGTTCCAAAGGGGGCTGTACTTCCTACACCCTACTCAGTGACACTTATTTTGCTGGGCTTTGTAAGTGGCTAGGGGGTTCTTTTAGATCTGGCCTTACTGTTGGAAAGACAAAAATAAATGCTTTTCCCCTCAAGTGTGTCTTATTTAAAAACTGCCTCCTTCTCTCGGCTGTGCCGATTCATGATCCTCAAAGATGAACTACTGCAATGCACTCTGCATGGGGCTGCCCTTGACAATCTAGAAGCCTGAACTGGTATAGAATATGCCTGCTCAGCTTTGGAGCAAGTAGGCCACAGATTTTTGAAATGGCTGCACCAGTCACCTGTTACTGTTCCAGGTGCTGGTTCTGGCCACTAAAAACCGTTCATGATCTGGAACTCACACATGTAGAGGACCATCTGTCCTGACATCAGCCTGTGTGTCAAATTTTCTCTTCTCAGCAGTTCCCGTCTCTCTTCCACTGCCCAAGCCCACTGGATCTTCCTCTGTCCAATCATGGGCATTTTTAGCAGGGGTGCAATCCCAATGGCACAGCCTCCCAGAAGACTGCTAGGGCTTTTAGGAAATCCTGTACTGGTATAGAGGATGTGTGGAAGGCTGGTCCATTTTTTTACGGCTGGCTCCTCAGGTGTTAAGGGGCTGGGAATGGTTCTTGAGCTGCCACCTGACTTGGCTCCTTCTGAATGCGTTGTGCAATCTGCTTTTGGACACAAGTGCACTCTGACTGCCTTCAGCCCTCTCTGCTAGGTGGGAAAGTGGGGTGAACATATTTTAATAGATACATATGTCAGGAAGCTCTCTTAAGATTAGGTGATGAAAGCATTACAAAAGTGTTCGATTGGAAATCAAAGAAATTTTGGCTCAGGTGTGCAATCTGAACAATAGCCGATGTGCATGGCTCAGGAACCGTACAGAAATCCTAACTACAGTGATCCATTCTAGTTGCCAACAGTGCCTCTGTCTTGTCCTCTGGTTAGATCACCATAGCTAGGCGTCACGGTGTCCACAAAATGTTTGCCTGACACCTAGCCATGGGATCTAGCCAAAGGTTAATCCAAACAAGACAGAGACATTGTTGCTGGTTCAATATGCTCCAGAGATGAAGTTCAACCTGTTCTGGATGGGTTTGCCCTCTGCCAAAGGATCAAATTCACCGTTTGGATGCTGTGTTCACTCTTACTCAGGAGGCCATGGCTCAAAACACCATCGTCCCGCTGAGGCTGCTGTGCCACCTGCAAGCCCCACCCTCGGACGGAGAAGACTTCACCAGGGTTATCCATGCTGTAGTAACATTCAGCTTGATTAGTGCAACAACTTGTATGCGGGTATTGCCTCTGAAGACAACCAGAAACTTCATCTGCTTCACAACACAGCAAACAGATTTTTGAAAGGTGATGGCTGGCCGGAACACATTTTGCCTGTACTGAAGAACTCTCTACTGGTTGCCAGTCTGTTTCCACACACAATTCGAGGAACCGATTTTGACCAATTAAGCCCTCTTTGGTTTAGGATTAGGATACATCTATTCCCTTGTACATTTCTCTTCCATTTTCTCTGTGACACTTTCCATTTCACTCATGGCACTGCTGGTGAAGGCAATACTTTTGTTTCTTTCATAGCATTTCACATGCAACCGATGCAAAAACAAGTGTCAATTCTCAATGCTGATAATCCTGTCCCATGAAGCTGCCTGAGACTGAATTAGACCATTGGTCCATCGTGGTCAGTATTGTCTACTCAAACTGGCAACAGCTCTCCAGGGTCTCAGGTGGAAGTCCTCCACATCACATCACCTGCTGCCTGCTCCTTTTAAATGGTAATGTCGGGGATTGAACCTGGGACCTCCTGCATGCCAAGCCAACACTCTACCACTGAGCCACAGCCCCTCCCTTATCAAACTTCATGAGTGCAGCTAAGTGTGAAATGGGGAAAACCCATATCAATAACAGGGTTTTTTGAATCAAAACTCTGTATTCGTGAACATCCCCTTCTTGGGACCAGAGTACCCGAAGGACCACTGATTCCTCTATGAACCTGTCCCTACATAAAAATTTCAGCGGTCCTGCTCCAGGGCCCTCCACTTTCAGGTTAGGCGAGCTACGACACAGGGACACTTGGCCAGTGACTACTTTGACAGCACTCAACTGCCAAGTGAAGACAATTGTTTATAATTGTTTTATGATTGTATTCTGCTTCAAATTTTGGATGGTTTTAAGAATGTTGTGACCTGCTCCGAGCCCGTTTGCGGGAAAGGGCGGGATAAAAGCTGAAATGAATAAATAAATAAAACTCTCCTGAGCCTTTAATGGTATAGATCTATTTTGCTGCTGTGTAGTCTACTTTTGCCACTTTTAATACTTAATTTTGCAGATCTATTGTGGTTTTACTATCTTTACGTCACAGTCAATTGTTTCCCTATTTAACTTGGGAGCCTAGGCTAAAAGGCAGAACGGAAAACCTACAATAAGCAAAATAAAACAGTTGATTGGGTGAATGTTCAGTGTTGTGCTTCTACATCTCGGGAAAAGCTCGAAACGGTATTCATGACTCAGAAGCATTCATCCAGGAAGCAGTTTGGCAGATACCATAGAAGCATGCACACATTAAGAAAGCAAATATTGTATATCCATCAGAGTTCTGTTTGGGGAGAAAACAACGGTAGGTCTATGCTGCTTCCCCGTGGGCAACAGCTGTTACTTGGCAACAGAGAAGAGGTGGATATTATTGCTTAGGAATAAGGGAGACTACAATGAACGGGCACTGTGTCGTGTCTGCTTCCAAAGGCACCACATGGAGTCTACCTCTACCGTGGCAAAGTGTTGGCAGGGAGCACCCAGCATGAGGAGAAGCCGGCTGTCTCCGCAGCACCACCAGTGGGGGAGCTTACAGAGACCAGGTAGTCTTTTCGATAGCTTTAGAGGGTGCTGGCTCCAGATGGAGAGGCAGAGGCTCAGCCTCTCTGTGGTGCAATTTAACGGGCTGCCATCTGCTGGGTTTCCATGTGCAACCACCCCAAGATCAAAGAAGCCCCTAAGTGAGAGGAGGGGGGGGGGAAGGAAGGATCGATTGGGGACCATCAGCAGTGTCCTCAGTCCTATCTTTCTTAGTGACAGCTGCCAAGCTCTTAGAATTCTTCGAGGATAAAGTGATGCAGATGAGAAATACGTAAACCCACGCGGCTTCCAAACTTCAAGTCGTGATCTGATTCCCCGAGGAAAGAGCCTTGTTTTAAGTACGTTCGATTAGTGGCCTTTATGGTGCATGGAAGAGCCGGCGGGAGACACCCCCTTCCCTCTTTTAGCAAAGGCTCAATGCAGGTTACATAAAAGCCGATTAATTACCGCTGCCTGTTCCGCGGGGTTGCAGAGCCCAAGAGAAGAGGCAGAAGGGAATACATTCCTACGCTCGGCTTCCTGTGTATCTTCTTGGGCACAGAGAGGAAGCAACAGAGGCTGGGGAGGAGGGAGTGGAGCAGAGCAGCCATCAAATGCTTAGTAAACAGCCGCAAGGCTACCTTATAGGGTGGAAGACGCAGGGCTCTTTTTGGGCAGGAACACACAGGAACGGAGTTCCGGCTGGCTCCCAAGTTGGCCACGCCCAGCAGGAACTCATTAGCATAATAGGCCACACCCAACAGCCGGAACTCATTAGGATTGGCTACATTAGGGGGGTGTGGCCTAACATGCAAAGGAGTCCCTGCTACAAAAAAAGGCCCTGGGTTTTGACAACAAACAAGGTAAACAGAATAAGAAGCAAACGGTGGGTGTGGCTGGATGAGCACACTTCTGGTAACATGGGGGTGTGGCCTAATGTGCCAATGAGCTGTGCTGTCAGGGGTGTGGCCTAATATGTTAATGAGTTTCTGCTGTTGGGTGTGGCCTATTATGCTAATGAGTTCCTGCTGGGCTTTTCCTACAAAAAGAGCCCTGTGGAAGAGAAATAACGGGGAACCAGCTCAGTGGCAGGGGGAAAGCCTCCCGTGGCGGAGACCCCACGTCCGATCCCTTGCCTCTTCAGACAAGGAATCTGAAGCAGCATAGCTGGAAAGCCACTGCCAAACAAAGTCGACAACACCAGTCTAGCTGTATTGAGAGCATGACGGTCACCGAAGACTTACGGAACTACCTTCCATAGATCCCTATAGTGAGATCCCTGTCTCACCGGCAGTCTTTAAGCGGCAGCTGGAGAAACCTTTGTCAGGGATGCTCTAGGCTGATCCTGCATTGAGCAGGGGGGGTTGGACTAGATGGCCTGCAGGGCCCCTTCCAACTCTTGTGATTCTATGAGGTCTCAAGCAGCAGCTCTCTGCACAGTGCACCGCAGCACGGGAACCTTGAAACTAAGACAACATGAATTGCTCGCTAGGTCCTAGACTGGAGGGGAAACCAGGACAGCATTTTCCATGTCAAAAGGGAGTTTGTGGAAAGCCTCAAGTCTTTTCCCCCAATTCAACCGTAGTTGGCTTGTCTGCATTCAGTGCCAAACCATGAAAGACTTGAGGTCACGGGGCCAAGAAGAGATGGGCTTTTGGGTGCTCGGAGAGCACCAGTGGCACGTTATTCCAGCCCTCCACACCGCCTCTTTGAGATTCACATCCACATTGAACAGGACGATGGGCCCTGCACGGAGCAGTCCCAGGGAGATCCGGGCCACCTTCTCGTCTTTTGGGATGTTCCGATCAGGAATGAGCAGGATCAGAGAGAAGAGTCACAGCTGAACACCTAGCAGGTCCCACAGGGCCTAAGTCTACTACAGACCAACATGGAACAGCTTTAGTCGTTGTAAATTTTCCGGGCTGTATGGCCATGGTCTTGGCACTGACCACGGCCATACAGCCCAGAAGATCTGCATCTAATGAACTCCAGCTGTGAAAGCCTTTGACAACATATGGAACAGCTTCTTCTGTGGATCAAGACCACAGGGATATTGCACCCCTATACTCAGGCTGGCAAACGGGCAGACAAAACTGGAGGGGGGGGGCTTGTTTCCTTACGTTTTTTGCCATTGATATGATCCAAGAAGTTGATGGAATCTTTCACTACACAGTCGCAGACGTTACAGTAATACCTGGAACAAAAAAACAAACAAAGATCAGTTGTCAAATAAGAAATAAGGATAATTCTACAAGGAGTTCCCAGTTTAAGGGGAGGCGGGCTACCAAAGAATGCTCTAGCGGATATTACTGAACTTTCAGAAACAGGTCAAACAAAGGTGCAGTTTCTCTTTGGAGGTGGCTCAGAGCTGTGATCAGTGTTCCCTCTAAGCTGAGTTTGTGTGAGCTAGCTCACAGTTTTTTAGCCTCCGGCTCACTCATTTTTGTCTTGGCTCAGGAAGGATGGGGCTCCAGAGCAAACGAATGTATGCAGCAGCCAAATAGCTCGCTCACAACTTTAATGCTGGTCGCTCACAAAGTAGAATTTCTGCTCACAAGACTCCACAGCTTAGAGGGAGCATTGGCTGTGATCCACTGAAATACTCCTCTTGGCCTGAGCCATCTCCAGGTCTTCACTCCTTACCATACAGGCACACAATCCTCGACTCGATTTAACGGAGCACTTGATCAATCCCTTCTCTCCCCCCCCCCCCACCTTGGTGTTTATTTCTGTGAGGCGAGGGGGACGTGAAGCACTCACCTCTTTCAAATGATTCTTTTAAAAAAACAACAACAACAACACCTTCTTTTAGGGGTCTGGCGAGGATATGACAGGATTCCATTTTTAAAAAACTCCCATCTTCTATTCCTTGGTACTTTGGGCGGCGGGGGGTGGGGGTGTTGAGTTGCATGCACCCATCATGCTCCCTCTGCCTCCTTTTCTCTTCCATACAGTGGAAGCAATAGTGCCTGACACCTCCAGGTATTGTGAGGACAAGCAAGGACAGAACAGCATGGATTTCAGAAAACGGGGCGGGGATGCTTCATTCCTGCCTTGCGTTAGTTAGACTCATTCCCCCCATTTGCAAAAGGCTTTTTCATCCTCTGGGCCATGGCCAGAGTGTGCCTCCGGGGACACAGCACTAGAGGGAGTCGGGGGTGGGGGTGGGGTTGGGCAGACAAGTGGAGGGAATGTGCAGGTGAGTGCAGCAGGGAATGAACCCCCCACTTTAGGGGCCGTAGCCTGAAATACTCCTCTTGGCCTGAGCCATCTCCAGGTCTTCACTCCTTACCATACAGGCACACAATCCTCGACTCGATTTAACGGAGCACTTGATCAATCCCTTCTCCCCCCCCCCCCCCACCTTGGTGTTTATTTCTGTGAGGCGAGGGGGACGTGAAGCACTCACCTCTTTCAAATGATTCTTTTAAAAAAACAACAACAACAACACCTTCTTTTAGGGGTCTGGCGAGGATATGACAGGATTCCATTTTTAAAAAACTCCCATCTTCTATTCCTTGGTACTTTGGGCGGCGGGGGGTGGGGGTGTTGAGTTGCATGCACCCATCATGCTCCCTCTGCCTCCTTTTCTCTTCCATACAGTGGAAGCAATAGTGCCTGACACCTCCAGGTATTGTGAGGACAAGCAAGGACAGAACAGCCTGGATTTCAGAAAACGGGGCGGGGATGCTTCATTCCTGCCTTGCGTTAGTTAGACTCATTCCCCCCATTTGCAAAAGGCTTTTTCATCCTCTGGGCCGTGGCCAGAGTGTGCCTCCGGGGACACAGCGCTAGAGGGAGTCGGGGTGATGGTGGTGGGGCTGGGCAGATGAGTGGAGGGAATGCGCAGGTGAGTGCAGCGGGGAATGAACCCCCCACTTTAGGGGCCGTAGCACCAGTGTACATACCTGGAAGGGCTGGAAACGCCTTCCTTGTCACTCTACAGACTTTTACGTCAGCATAAACCTGATGGGTGGCTTCAAGAGGGAATTAGATAGGCATATGGAGCAGAGGTCCATCAGTGGCTATCAGCCACAAGGTATAGATAGGGGCTCTGGGGCAAGTGATGCTCTGTCTTCTTGGCGCTTGGGGGGGGGTCAACAGTGGGAGGGCTTCTAATGTCCTGGCCCCACTGGTGGACCTCCTGATGGCACCTGGTATTTCTGGCCACTGTGTGACACAGAGTGTTGGACTGGATGGGCCTTTGGCCTGATCCAACATTGGCATCTCTTATGTTCTTATAAACCTGCTACAGAAGCTGAAGACCAGGCACGTTCCCTTTGGGATGGCCAGCTCTGGAAATAAAAGAGCCTGGTACCTGGGCAGAGCCTACAGTGTGCAGGTCGGAAAAATAAATGAAAGAAACAAACAGCTATATGGGGAAGGTATCAGTTTCGGTCCTTGCTCTTCCGGCAGCAGGCCCACGCAAGGCTAGTGTTCTTCTGGTTGGCCAGCAACCCTACTTCCTTCCTGTCCCCTCAGCACCCCTGGAGGTGAAGGCTGCCTGCCACAAAATCTGGAGACTCCGTTTGGGAAAGACGAATAGTCCTATCTTCATGAAGACCTTGACGAGTATTCCCCTTTAGAGGTGCTACTGTCATTGATGGGCTATGAAGACCTGAGGGCCCAAGGAAGACACACAGTTCCACTGAAATGCCCAGGAAACCGAGCGTGTTAGGAGAACGCCCGGCGACTCACCCGCCCATTTCAGACTGAGGAGTTGTTTTGGTGATAACGATGGTTTTCCCCAGTTTGGATTCCAGGTCCACCTTGTAGTCCCGGTGCCGAAGAAGCTCCCGCTTGACGGGCTGTAGTGGCTTGCCTTAAAAACAAAGCAAGGTGGTCATAAAATGAGAATTTAAAACTCTCTCTTTTGATGCAGAACGTCATTATCTCTTCACTGGGAAGAAAAGCCTCCTCAAGAAACATACTTTCCCCATGCTCCCTGTACCAAAGTGCAGATGAGCTCTCCCATTCACTTTTTTGTCTATCAACGAGGGTAACGATGTCAGGAAAGGAACGAGCTTATTACAAATTTGTTCTCGAAGGAGAAAGACCAGAGGAAGAAAAGGTCCACGTTGTCTCTCTGCCTTTTGCTCCACTAAATGTCCTCGCCCTCCCCCCCCCGAATTTCCCCAATCTACAAACTGGCCTGGAGATCCTTAATGGAATCAGTCACACATTCCTGTCGTCTACATATTACTAACCATCTTTCTTCTCTCTCTCTTCCGTGAGCCGTTTCTCTGCAAGCTTTTCATACTCATCTTTGTCCCACTTCCTGCGGAAGTCCAGGTTTTTAGTCTGTGATGGGGAAAACAAGCAACAATTCAGTGTCCAGTTCAAGAACGGCTCTAACCTCGGCGAAGTCTGCAGGTACTGAATTTGTAGGGCCTCGGGAGACACGGGATACTCAGTTTTACTTACAGGACATCCACAACACTCACTTGGCCCAGTTATTCTCTTCCTCAGCCTAACCTACCTCACAGGGGCGTTGTGAGGATGAAATTTAGAAGGACAGAATAACGTACAGTGCCCCAAGCTACTCAGAGAAAGGGTCAGATAAAAATATAATTAACAGTAATAAAAGAGGACCTGAACCTCAGCTGTATGAAACCAGAAAAAAGAGGACTTTAAAATGCAGCACAAAAGTAGCTGCTTCACAAATACCTTGATAGAATACTCCTATCCCCATTGTGTTTACGGAACTGCTTTCTTCTCAAAACGCAGCCCATGACCAACGCTCCCTCTAAGCTTTGGAGCCTTGTGAGCAAAAATTCTACTTTGTGAGCGACTGGCATTAAAGTTGTGAGTGACTGATTTGGCTACTGCATCAATTAGTTTGCTCTGGAGCCATCCTTCCTGAGCCAAGACAAAAATGTGTGAGCCGGAGGCTACAAAACTGTGAGCTAGCTCACACTAACTCAGCTTAGAGGGAACATTGCCCATGACCATGGCCCAAACCAGCTGAAACAAATGCTCAGCAGCAAGTGGAAGCAGCTACGACATAACCATTACATTGCCGTCCCTTGGTCAATGCTAACTGCTGCCCAAGAAGGGTGACAGGATTCTGACAAGCACGGGGGAATCCGAGTAGAGATAAGGCCCAGGCAGGGACAGGCAACTGGACCATAAAGAATGCTTTACTGCCAAGCAAACGGGCAGCAGGTTCAAGACAGGTAGATAAACGAAAGCCCTTTTCCTCCACACACAAAGCAAAATAAACGTCTGGTATTAGCTGCCAGAAGATGCAGCCTTGGCCACTGGCTCTTAAAAAGGGAGTAAAAGGTAAAGGTAAAGGTTCCCTTGCTCGAAAGCCAGTCGAATCCGACTCCAGGGTTGCGGTGCTCATCTCCGTTTGCAAGCCGAAGAGCCAGCGCTGTCCGAAGACGTTTCCGTGGTCATGTGGCCGGCGTGACTAAACACCAAGGCGCACGGAACGCTGTTCCCTTCCCACCGAAGGGGTACCTATTTATCTACTTGCAATGTCTTGCTTTCGAACTGCTAGGTTGGCAGGAGCTGGAACTAGAGACGGGAGCTCACTCCATCTTGCAGCACACTCGGGTCTCGAACTGCTGAACTACCGACCTTCCACAGCCTGCAGTTCAGCGTCTTAACCACTTGAGCCACCGCAGTAAAGGGAGTAACAAATTCACAAAGAATCAACCTATCGGTGGCTGTCGGCTATGCAAGTTGAAGGCAACATTCAAGCTCAGCAGTGACAGATCAGCTAGTGGATGACTAACAGGGGGGGGGGCTGCTCCTCCATGACCTGCTAGTGGTGGTGGTGAGTCCTCAGAAACTGGAACTCGCTGCTGTTGAAAATATAAAGATGGACTAGACTAGCCCTTGTCCTGATCCAGCAGGGCTCCTCTTCTTATTTATTCATTTATTTATTTTATTCGACTTATATCCCGCCTCCCTGCATGGCAGGCTCAGGGCGGGTTACATCAAATTTGATAAAAATACAATATACACAATTAACACAATTAAAACACTAGTAAAATACCACAATAACCTTCATCCGGTGCTGTTGTCATTGATATTAAAACCTCACAGATGCCATCTCCGGTGTGCAGATCTGACCCACTGAGGGGAGGCCCAGGTAAAGAGAGAGGGAGGGACGTCGCCCAGTTAAAAGCCTGGTGGAAGAGCTCCGTCTTGCAGGCCCTGTGGAACTGCATAAGGTCCCGCAGGGCCCTGATCTCATATGGGAGCTCATTCCACCAGGTAGGGGCCAGGGCTGAAAAGACCCTGGACCTAGTCGAGGCAAGACGGACGTCCCTGGCATCTTCTGGGCAGATCAGAAACAGGCAAGACGGATCAATACAAAGGGAGCGGCCAGAAGCATGCCTGAACATCTGCAGAGAAGGTCCTATGAGGAAGTAGAAGTTCTCTTCAAAGAACAGAGACTGGCTCCCCTGACCTATAGGATGCAGCAGGTGTGGGGCATCCAAACGCCAACAGGTCATGTTAGAAAATGTAGTCGGAGTCCAGGTGAAAAGCAGCATGTTTGCCTTTGGCCAAACTCTTGGCCCGTGCCTCTGTGCTTATTCTCAACCGAAGCTTTCAGAGTCTGACATTACACCGACCACAACTTAAAATACCCAGATAACTCTGAGCACGGGTGCTAACTCTGTGAGGGGGAGTCTGATTCAGCAACACTCAAAGGAAAATTCTTGGACACATGCATGGAAAAGCAATCTTTCCCCAAAAGCGTGGACTGCAATTGTTTCCTGCCTTTTTAAACCTCATCACGGCAACGGTTGTAAAAGCCAACACGGTGCGGTGGCCAGAGTGTCAGACTAGGCTCTGGGAGCCCCAGGTTCGAATCCCCACTCTGCTGTGGAAGTTCACTAAGAGGCCTTGGGCCAGGCACACATTCTGAGGTAGTCACACAAATGGAGGAGAACAATGCAAGCGGTTTTGGGTCCCCATTGGGGTGAAAAGTGGGGTATGAAAGTCAATAATTTAAAAAAATAGCAAGATCATCACTACAGGAGGCAACAGAGGTATACTCTGGGACGAAATAGATTCATGGAGGATAAGTCTATCAATGGCTACTAGCCATGGTGGCTGAGGGGAACCTCCACATTCGGAGGCACTAAGCCTCTGGATCCGAGAGCCAGGAGACAACATCAGGGGAAGGCCTCGGCCTCATTGCCCTGCTGCAGGCCCTCCAGAGGAACTGACTGGCCACCGTGTGAGACAAGATGCTGGACTTGATGGACCACTGATCTGATCCAGCAGGGCTCTTCTGATGTTCTTATGAAGGCCTCGGCCTCATTGCCCTGTTGTTGGCCCTCCAGAGGAACTGGTTGGCCACTGGGTGAGACAGGATGCTGGACTAGGTGGACCGCTGGTCTGATCCAGCAGGGCTCTTCTGATGTTCTTATGAAGGCCTCGGCCTCTACACCCTGTTGTTGGCCCTCCAGAGGAACTGACTGGCCACCGTGTGAGACAAGATGCTGGACTAGATGGACCACTGGTCTGATCCAGCAGAGCTGTTCTTATGTTCTTATTCTTTAGCATATATAGGTAAAGGTAAAGGTTCCCTTGCTCGAAAGCCAGTCGAATCCGACTCTAGGGTTGCGGTGCTCATCTCCGTTTCAAAGCCAAAGAGTCAGCGCTGTCCGAAGACGTTTCCGTGGTCATGTGGCCAGCATGACTAAACACCAAGGCGCACAGAACGCTGTTACTTTCCCACCGAAGTGGTACCTATTTATCTACTTGCAATTTCTTGCTTTCGAACTGCTAGGTTGGCAGGAGCTGGAACTAGATGGGAGCTCACTCCGTCATGCGGCACCCGGGTCTCGAACTGCTGAACTACTGACCTTCGACAGCCTGCAGTTCAGCGTCTTAACCACTTGAGCCACCGCAGCATATATAACACTGTGTTAATTTATAAAAGTCCTTTGGCATGCAGACTGAGTGAGCTGGTCAGGCACAGACGTCCTCCGGAGGCCTAAAAGCCAGAGTCTCTCTGTCGGCTGGCCACCCCTCCAGCCAGCCAAGGCCAGCCAAGAGCAAGGACGTGACAGCAGAGGCTCTTAGCAACAGCCCTCTAGCTCTGAAAGACCCTCGCTCCAGAGACCCGACCAAAATCTAGGCTGGGACTTCTACTGTGGCTGGTGACAATACGGGTATTTTAGTTGCAGCTGGTAACTCTTCACAGAAACCCAGAGCTTTAACATTTCTTATGTTTTTTAATCGGCTTTTTAAAAATACCTATTTCGTATCTGCCTCAAATTATTGCGGTTTGCCCAGAGCATCTGGGAGAGAAGTCAGCTTCAAATTTAAATTATGTTAAGTTTCACATTTCAAAATTGTTACTAAGCCTGAGCCCAAGGGACAGGGAGAATGAGAAATCTAAAATAAAATTAGTCAAGCATTTCTACACAAGCATTTTAATTTTAGTGCTGCTTTTCTTGTGATTTTTTTCACCCCCTTCTAGAATACAAGTCCTGGATTTCAGTGAGCGCCTGAGGACCCCCCCCTCCAGTGGCTTGCTTGGCCGGCCCAGCAAGACACCTTTTCACAGCTGGAAAAGCTGGTCCAAGCTTAACTCTTTCCTGTCCAGATGATAATGTCATCCACACCAATGGGGAAAGAATGTCTAAATTTAGAAGAATTGTAATGACATGGATAGGAGGCCATTAAGTGGACACAACAGGCGGTTATAATGAAGGTGGCCTCTCTTTAAGCTGTACAGCCAGGGGTCATTTCCTGCAGGAGCGCACAGGAGCGGAGCTCCGGCAGTAAAGAGCCCAGGGGGCGGGCACATGCAACAAGCCCCACCCCCTGCTCCCAGCAGCCCTCAGTCAGAGCAAGAAGCAGCCAGGTAAATTGCAGAGCCTCCACGGTTCCACGGCCCAAAACAGTCCAGTGGTACCTTTAAGATCGAGTTTTATTCAGGTACAAGCTCTCCCTCCTCTGTGAGGACAGACCCGCATATCCCCCCCCCCCCGGTGCCTAGCAATCCAAAACAGTCCAGTGGCGCCTGAGCCGGTGGGTGTTGCCTTCTGACACATTTCCGGTGATGTCAGGGGGTGTGGCCTATGCAAATGAATTATGCTAATGAGTTATGCTAATGAGCTCCTGCACCTCTTTTCCTACGAAATGACCCCTGTGTACAGCTAAAGTGAGCTACTCATGAAGGACTAAAGAACCTTCATCCATTCATGGATCCAGTCAATCTCAAGCAATTCACTTGAGCTTTATAAAAACAGCAAACATCTCTTTAAAAAAAAAAAACTGAATTCACAGGATATTTCCTCCAGTTCACCTTCCAAGGGGTTCTCTAC